ACAGTTTAATAAAACACGATTTGCACAAATATTTAGACATTCCATCGTCTTCATTCGTTGTTCAACGTTGTAATAAAACATTTTGGAAACGTGTCAACGAATATAGACCTTTCTGTTCTTGACTGCAGTGAATTAGCGCAAATCCTGCACGCTGGACGATGGAAGTGCATGAGTATAGGGAATTGAGTGGGAAGTAAAAAACAAAAAACAAAAAACTAAAAATGTTGTTGCATATTTGTTATCACAAGCAGAGAAAGGAACCTGCTAAGAAAACTGAGAGCCGTGGTCAGAGAAGTTTCAGAATGGTCGCTGAATAAAACCAATTTCCATCACCTAAGGTACGTTACTTAAAATAAACAAAACAATGCAAGTTGCTCTGTTAACAGAGTATATAACAATGTATATTCTTATGTAGTTTGTATATGTTTACTCTAGGGAGAAACTACACAATTTTTTGAAAGCAAATCACTATCCTATAACAGAGAACACAGCCAAATTCTTACAGATGTTTGTGGTATGTATGTATGTATGTAATCAATTGTAGATAAATAGACACGGGTATACACTACATAGCAACATGGAAGTAAGGGTCAAGATCAAAGGTTCTATGATCATTTCCGCCTTTTACTCAGTAATTATAATGTTTGCTTGTTGATCTAGCAGCAAACAACAAAACTATCTACAGATAAGTCGAATTAGCATATTACGGATGTACTTCGGGAGCCCTCGGGAATATTCGATAACCGTCGGGTCATCGTTTAAAATGGCGTCGATGATTGTTTCAATTCAGCGGAAGTAAACCAGATTGAAGACGTCGTGATTGAAGAGGAAATATGGAACGCAACAGAAATATAAAACCGCCATCTCAAAAGCACGCCGCCTTGATAATAGCGAAAGATGTACACGAAAGTCATGCAATACCGTTACCGACGAAAAAATCGAAAACAATTTTCCGTCGTCTACTGCATGCGCGGAGTACTCCGGATGGACATAGTTTTTAACAATTGCAAAGACGGTGAAGTAGGCATTAATTTAAAAAAAATAAGTGGGCGAATTTAGTGCAACCCTGTGAAAACAGCAGTTGAAATAACCTCGAAAATTCAACGAAAAAAAACTAAAAGCCGTGA